CTAGAGAGGCAACCTTACAGTGGTGGAAATGTGACTGAGGCCAAGCCACCAGATCAGGAACAATAATATTGCAGATTCTTCTTTGGATTTTATAAAAGAGCTCAAGGTAAATAGCAGGGCACCAGACCATATGTAGCAGCAATATTCTAAGCATGGACGAATGGTAGACTTATAGATATGCAAGATGGATTCTGGAGAGAAAAATCATTTTATTGCTAAATGGAATCTCCTGTTTCCTCTCCACACCAAATTGTGTAGATGAGCATATCCTCAACTCAGCACAAGTGATAGGACAGGTGAGGGTGCGGTCTGGCTATGACCCCCCCACACACACACCTCCTGCATCGGCAAAAGACAATACTATAAAGTATGTATTTTATATGCAATGACTGTGGCTCTTATCCAACAAACCCAATTCATTTCAATTGCAGCTCAACAACATTAATTTCAGTTTCCAGCATCAACTGGTTTCAAACTTGGACAAATTTTATACTTTTAACATCCATCAAGGAAGTATGAAAAATGTACAATATTTGTAAATATGTATAGATTGATAACCACCATCTTGCCAGCTCAGATAAAAAGCTTAACGTTTTTAGACTGTAAACACACATGCACACAAATATATAGACTTTTACAAATCCTAGATCGATATATTGTAAACTTTTCCCAAGGTGAACATGTAAAAAGTATGACTAATTTTGTGCCAAAACTGTATCCAATAAGTTTATATCCGCCCACCAATATACAACTTTATAAAGTAGATTATATCTTGAGAAGCTCAACAGTACTGCATTATGGGTTTTGTTTAGTCTTTAATACTCAATATTCTTTGCAATTTACTCTATAATTTATACAAGTTTACAGAGGTTTGTCAAGAGATAAATTTCAGAAATTTAATCCTATACTTAAAGTTAAAAAATCAGGATGTGTATTCCTTACAGAATATGAAATAAATGATGGGAAGTGATAATAAATGTTTGCCAAGGCCAATTCTAAAATACAAATTTATGGTGATCAAAATCTAAGTGACCTAATTGAAGCGACCGTACCTATTTGAGACAGAATTAGATGACGCTTAAAAGGTATTAACCTTTAATATAGGATGTTGAAAGTGTCTCATATATAACAAAAGCCAAAATGATAACAGAAAAGCTTGAATAATTACTGACATGGCTCATTTAAATTAATTACTGGTTTTATTTCCACATCCTTATTAGATTAAAATCATTTTTTTATTCTGCCTTTAACACTGCAAATTTTTTCAATGTCTAAGAAGAGTACATCACTTTGATTTCTACCACCACCATGTATGGAGGCCTGATTTTAAAAACCATCTTTAAAAATGTTCTTTACACATTGTTCTTGTTACAAACCAAAATTTTGCTGCACATTCATCCATACAACACCAAAATTATCAGATGATAATAATCAAGATAGGTAGATAACCAACCAAGAGAATAGAGAGAAGAAAAAAAACAAAACAAAGATACCAACAGATATTTGATAGTGTATGCGCATAGTGAATTGCTTGAATGTTAGAAGCCACTGAACCAGAATAAAAAAAAAAAAAAGTCTTAAACAAGTAAGCTAAAAGCAGACAAGCTTTACTGAAGGAAAAAAAAAGTTAAACATTAAGAACAACAAAAAAAAAAAGATATATATATTTTTCTATGTAGGCCATTTCTGAAGTTTGGCTGTATAATTGTCACCTTGAGAGCAGCACAATGATGAAGGCTTAATTCTATTCAAAAGCAATGCTACAGTTCTTAAAATAGACACTCAACATTCTCTATGTAATAGGTATAGTCATCGCGAAAAATCATGACAGTTGATTTAAATATAAGCATTAATGACTAAAGTGTATCATTTTAAAGTAAAATTTATGTACAGACAACAAATTCATTGTTACAGGTTTTTTTTTTGGGGGGGGGGGTCGGTGAGAGCAAATAATCTGGCATGATCAATAGTTTTGAAGAGAGTCACTTGACTGAAACCCCTGGTCACAATGACTTCTGACTTCCTGTTTGCACACACACATATATATATATATATATATATATATACACAAAATACAGAGCTACAATATCCAAATATGTTAGAAGACATTATTTACATGTGAATTATTGCAACAACAAAGAGGAGGATAATAGTCTACATGTAGATAATAACCCCTCATTACAGAGAATCAGAGATATTAGAAGACATCAGTAAACTTCTCTAAATGCAATTTAGGAGGCAAGAATTTAACAAGAATATTTTTAATTAAAGATAAGCTATTATAAACAATTTCTTCATTCTCTCATAAACAAGCATACTTTTCTTCAGGATGTGAGATTAAATTTTGGAATTAGCACTGGCCAAATATAAAATTCAACATGTCACAATATTTTAAGAAAAAAAAAAATTGCTGATTGGAAGAGAGGATCAGAGTTTAATTGGCATCAGATTAGATTAAAAATCCAATGTCTGTCAATAACTGACCAAATTTGTTGAATACTGCATGCCTGAGGTTAAGGGGGGAGAGAGAAAAGAAAAGAAAAAGTTAAATTAATTGGTAGAAAGTAAAGTCAAAATAATTCCAGACGTTTTTAGTAAATGGTAAAGTCAATTATAATATTCATATACTTCATTTAGAAAAGAATAAAAACTACCTTGTAATTCATTGAGAATCAAGCATTGATATTCTCATTTTCAGTCACTTAAAAACAACCCTATATAAATTGCAAACAGAGCGCAAACAAACCAAACAGGTGCACCCACCACCACTTTCCTTCTTAATTTTGAGAATTTTCAGTCAATTTGTGATTAAATATAATATTAAATCTAGATCTCAGATGTTGTTATTAATAAGAGATTGAAAATGACTATTTCTGAAATGACTGACAAAAGAACAGACAATTACATTGACCAAGTAACAAGTCTCGTAACAAGCCGTGGCTATAAATCATCAATATTATATGAATATTTAAATCTAATTAAGGAATCTTTTCCTACAGAAAGATTACACAGTAAATTTCCTTTAAAGTATTAACTACTTTAATATCATAAATGAGGAATTCAGTCAATCTAATCTTTATAAATTATCTGTAATTTTAAAAAATCCCACTCCATGTCATTTTCTCAAAGTAAAAATCATTTCTAATTCATCATTGGGGTGGGGGCAGATATAGCATATATCAGAAGTGATCCAGAGGAATATACTACTAGTTAAATGCTATGAGACTAAAGATAATAACTAGTTAACAAATGCACTAATACTAAATAGAAACAATAACTTCAGAGTTTAGACTAATATAGTATATAAATTAACATCTATGATGGAAATGAGGAGTTTCTTAGATAAAGTGACAAATTCCAAATTGTATTATTCCACAGAAGAGTTTTAATTAACTATATCATAAGTACTAAAAGAAATCAGAGTTAGTAAGAAGATCAATCTCTAATAAGCTATGGGTAAAATAGTGGGATAGACTTGGTTTCTTAGCCATGGTTAGCAGTCTAAGAGAAGAACAGCTGAATTCAGAACCATGAAGAAGGCAACAGGAAATCATTCTATTCTACCCCACCCAACCAAATCACAGGAATGCAGTTTACAGATATTAAAGAAAAAGGAAGTTATGGAGAGCCATTATCACTGATGTTCTGATAGGAGATGGTATATTAAGTCAAACAGAAATATGTGGAACAATCAGAAGAGTATTGAAACCAATAAGATGGCATCTCACTATTTTCATCTGAATACAATTACGTCTTTATTAATCTTTCCTGATGGAAAAAGAAAAAAAAAACAAATGAAACAATTGAAGACAAGATTTTAACTTCACAGCCATTTTTAAAACCTCGAAAGAGATTTTTTGGTCTTTATGAATAAGTTATAAATATGTAACTTGCCTTGTGGCTGAAGTAGTGACATATCTTTTATCAGCACAACTGATCAATGTTTTAAACTTGGTAAAAAGACAGAATTTAGAATGATTTTTCAAAGCAGACAGCCATACACTCCATACTTGGAGGGTTGATGAAACACAATCCTCTTATGATGTTATACCAAGCTTAGCAAATATCAAGTCAAACAGACAATAATTTGGAAAATGTAATAAATTAAAAAAAAATTCAAGAACATGTAGACTTTCAATCAGAAATAACTGCTACTTTATTTAAATCTAAATACAATTTTTTTGTATGTCTATTTCCCCTTTGAACTTTATTCAGAAACTAAGAAAAGCTGTTACGTAGAAACCAATCTGTTAAAGCCAAAAGCATTCAACATAGCTTCCTCTTCACTAAACACTATTTGTACATTAGGTGCAGGCTCTATTTTTAGAAAATGTGTAAACCTTCAACAGAAATGTTGTAAATGTCTTATATACAAATTTTGATTTTCATTATTAAAATTACTATGAACTATTTATAATACATCTCTAACATGTCAACAAATTAAAAAAATTTTTTTTTTTTTTTTACTTGTAGACAGGCATATTTTTCCTATAAAATTACAATAGGATATTTTCCATGTAAACTTCAAGTTTCATATCTCTTACTCATTACACACTTTCTCAACAATGGTTTTAGTTAAAGTCAGAATACACCGAGGTTATGGAACTAAAAATATAGGAAAGAAATTAATGACAACAAATAATAAAAATTATATCACAATAAGTAATAGGAGTGTAAAGCAAAGTCTGATATTGTTAATTAAGGAAGGTATTTAATTTATAAGAGAAAAAGAAATTGTAAGTCACATCTACAACCATTAAAATGTGTGCTCTTACTATAAATTAATGTGACGATCGTATTTAAAGATATTAAAGAGCATTAATAATTTGAGTCCTAAATTGATTAGGAAATATTTTCATTAAAACCAATAGGATGAAATAAGCAAATTTTAACAGAATATGAAGGCGCTTATGTAAACTTTCAATAAAAGAACTCAAAAGTTAAAGGATATAAGTAAATGTAAGGGAAACACAACATGGTAACACAAGTCAAGCATATACCTTTCAGTCGAGTTGCTGCAGGTATAATTTCAACATTTTCCTCATCAACAGGTGCAGAAGGGGTTTCCATCTTGGGAGGAGGTGGTGCTGGCTCTTTCTCCACAACAGGATGCACAGAAACTTTTTCATCCTTTATAATAGGAGTAGCAAGAACTTCATCCTCAACTATTGCTTTGATAACTTCAACTGTGACAGGTTTTTTTGTTTCCTCAATTGTATGCTCTGATTTACCAAGTGGTGCCTCCTCTATCATCACAGGTTTTGGTTGGGCAGGTAGTGCTTCCACCACCGTAGCAGTGTCCGGCCCTGTGACAAGTGTTTCCTTGACAGGCTCCAGTTCTGCAGGTGGGGCTTGCTTCACCACTACAGGCTCTGGCGTCTCAGTCGGCTGTGCGGTCTTGACTGAGCTTACCATTTCTACCTTCACTGGTCTATTGTCCACGACAGGCTCTGGTCCAGCAGGTTGGCTAAAGTTCATCACTGCAGATTCGTCTATAGGAAATTTACTTTGCAACACTATAGGCTCCGGTGTTACGGGTATCTGAACCTCGACGACATAAGCCTTAGTATCTTTCTTTTTCTCCCTGTTTTCTTCCGCCTTATTGACACTAGTAGCCAATAGTTTCCCCTCTTCTGCTTGTTTGGCTTGACGAAGTCTTCCCTTTCTTACACTGTAAGGAATACGACGTCCTCCAGGACCAGCCTGTTCCATTCTTATTCAGCTGGCCACTCAAACAGCAGACTTAAGAAACTGCAGTTAGTGTGCTGCCGTGTTCTGCCAGAGCCTGACTGGCAAATGGTAGGATTAAAGTGGGGATTGAAATTCTAAAGCAGGTGAGAACATAAACCCAACTGCATTTCACCAAGAGGTAGAAAGCAGCCACCAATGAGTGCATTGCTTACAGGATGTGATATTTGAGAAGAACCAATAAAAAAGTGTGTTATGTTAGCAACACTAAGTGTGGCAGCATTCCACCAGTACCTTTTGATGGGGTTTCTGCCAAATAGCTAGCCAACCTGTAATATTTATCTTGGGTTTGACACGAGCGGGGAAGCTTATTATATAGAAATCTATATTTTTAGAATAAAGATATTTAAAAAGTGTTTCAACATTAGAATAAATTAAAAACAAGTTTGTTGAAATCTGTAGAAATCATTCTTTTTCTTTTCATGAAGTAAAACCAAGGAAGAATTTTCTCAATTAGAAATATTAAAAAATTGATTAAATTTATTATATTACAATAACTAAATATAGTCTCATTAATTAAATTAGAGAACTGAGAGTAGCGACACGAAAGCAAAACTAGTTCCACACGTTTTAGATTTGATGAATGCCTTTTTGAATGGTTAATTAGAGTGGCTCACTAATGCCATAATGTACAGTTGATGAAGGTGAGTGAGTTGCTGCAGGTAAATATATCCATGGCAAATAGCCAAAAGTCAAATCAGAATATTACATATATGTTACACTAATTCTAAAAGCTTTTTGTTGTTATTTGTAGAAAAAAAAATGTGCTTATGCTTTGGCCAAGAGAGAGAGAAAGAAAGAAAAAAAAAAAAAAAATCACTCATTTTATTTTAGTTTTTAATACCCTGAGTGTATTATTGTCAAAGTGCAGAACATTTCAAACTATTCTAATATTTTTTATAATAAATCCATTGTCATATAAATTAACAAGTTTTTGAGCCCCCCCCCCCAACCATTTTCTCAAATTTTTCATTACTTAAAACTGTATGAATAGAATTTATCATAGCTAAAACTAAAGCTTTGTCAAAGTCAAAGTGATATTTTTAATACATTTATTTAAAGATAAAAATAATTAAACAAAAATATTTCTAGATTATAGGCAACATTGTCTCTTTAACAGAATTTGGAAAAATAATTGGAAACAACACAAACATGAATGGTGATAAAGATAAGTAGTAAATTTTACAAGTTGATTAGCAACTATTTTAAAGTTACGGTGCATCCATTTCTATCTTTGATTTTCACTGGACTTTGAAAAAAAAGCAATGAAGATCAGAAGAAAAAAATGTCATTAGTTTTAGTTGTTATTATATAGAGAACAAATCAAAGAGGAGTTAAAAGAAACTCTTGATCAACTTTGTTGGTTTCAACAAAAATGTCAGCTTGACAAAAAATGAGAGAAAAATCAAATTAGCCATGAGTTTCGGATTTTGAAGTGGGACAACTTTATTTGTAAAATTCTAAAACTCATTTACAGACAATAACATGACTTTACAAGTAAAAGGCACCAATACTTATTACCAAGAAAAATGTTCAGTTTCATTTATATAAGGAATGACCAAAAAAGGTAGAAACATTAATTAAACATCATTGTTCCTATCACGATTGATACACTTAGTTTAGAAGTGCATATATTGTCCTCTTTCAAAACATGGTGTCAAGCAATTGTAGTCTCTTTTGCAACAGCATCGTCTGTGTGGGATTGCTTCTCAGATTAATTTCTATGAAAAACTGAATTCTTTAAAATTTATATGTCCTTATTTTTAGATAAGTGTGGCATAAAGTCAGAAATTTTATTGACAAACAATTTGGGGGAGGGAGGTGATAATTTCATTCTTGTGTTGTAATCAATATTTTAAAAATCATAGTCACCAAATATCTTCAAAACTCATTTACAAAAATCCTTGAGAGAAACAAAATAAAAAGGAGATCTTTGAATGACAACTAGGAAAATTAATGCCAACCAAAACACTAATCCTGTTATTCTACTTTTAATGCCAGAATTCATAATTTTAATTATCTTTAGATAATCTAGTAAATTGTGTTAGCCTTTGGATTTTTTTAGGTGGTAATGGATTTAAAGATTTACATCAATACATTTAAAAAAGAAATAAGAAAAAAACAGGAGGGGGAGGGGGCACCTTGACCTTCCCTGTAGTTGCATGAACTTCAGATCGAGTAATAGCTTACAGTTGAAATAGGTAAAGAGTAGTATCAGGAAAATTAATCGGCATTTTTGTAATTCTGCAGGCAATTCTCTGAGCAAAATCTAACATGTAATGTTTGGAGTCATTCTCAGATTACAATTGAAAATTCCTATTCGACAAACATAGCTCGTAGGTTTTCAGCTGCTACACAACTAAGTATGAGGAAGCTGTTTTGTACCAAAATAAAAAGATAGGAAAGACAAAACTTAAAAAGATCACACCTACTAGCCCAAGGCCAAAAGGAAGCATTCTTGAATTGTAACTGACAAATGCAGCTTGGCAGTTTTATAACACTTCCAATTCTATTACAGCTATGTATTGAATCCTGACAAACTGTTCCATAAATTGTAGATTTGAAAATTTCAGAGGCCATCTTTCCAGAAAAATAGACTTTGAAGAAAAAAAAATTGAATTATTAAATGGCTTGTAAAATAGGTGTTATGGCTTATCAAGGTGGCAGGTCATTTGTATTGTTTCAAAAAAAAAAAAAAAAAAAAAAAAAAAAAGTTTCACTCCAAGGAAGGGGTTACTGAGTGTGAGAGAATATGAGAAAAAGAAAACATTAAGGAGAGAGAACAATAAAAGAACACACAAGATAACAATTAACATTGCAATTAAATTTTTGAAGATTAAAATTGATTGGAAAGCAAGAAGCCAGAAGAGAGTTCCACAAGAAGTTGACTTGAATCTTGTAGGCAGCTAGTACTTGGGGAAAGTTATCTCTATTCAATGGCCAAATTCTCAGTGAATGCTCACATATCTCCCATTAAGTGCATAATAGCATTTTAATTTTTAACAAATAGCTGGGATGGTGGAATGAATTATTGCACCAAAATGCTTTATGTCTGCCATTAGTTTCCTTTCAAAAGTAAGGACAGCAAGTATGATAAAGCATTTTTAATTCACTAATGAAAGTATAAATTACTAAAAGAATCTTCACAATATTATTTAATTATTAATTCAAATTTGTAAATTTACAATGTGTGTGTATATACATACACACACAGTACATTTCATACTAGATTAAAAAAAAAAAAAAACTGTAGGGAAGTCTCAAATCTGTGAATAAGGAATCTCCTTGGTATTTCTAACTATGAAACTCAAGGGAATGGACCAGATATCCACAGGTGGGCAGTACAGGTAAGAATACCTTTATTGTTCAGGGTAGATGTTTCTAGTTTAAATTTGCTGGTGCATTTTTGCAGGTGGTGGTGATAGAATGAATACCATAAAAAAAAAAAATAAAATAAAAAATTAATTTGCTTATTGTTGATTATTATAGTTAATGAATTTGCCTAATCAAGCACTAGACATTCATTTTAAAGAAGGTCCAAGTTCAATACTATTACTATGAAGCTAATTTATCTTCTAAAGTCTATTACTAGTGTTATTGTTAGTCTCCTTTGTTATTCCAATTTTCTTCAGATAATGGAAGACTGCAGAAAAATAAAATTTAATTAATTCCTGTAAAAAAAAAAAAAAAAAAAAAAAAAAAAGTTTTAAAATTATGAAAAGAAAATTAATTGTATAAGTTACCTTTTGGATCGATGTTTTTCAACCATGGTCCTGTAAAAATAAGAGAAAATAAATTATAAATAATGCAAAAACTGAGGTAAATAGTTTCATATTGGTAAAATAAAAAAAAGTTTACAGAAGCTAATGATGATTAAAAACAGTTTGGATATTTGGCTTTAATTTGAAAAACAAAGGTTGACTTTATAAGAAAATTAAACAAAATGAAAAAATAATCAACCAGAGTTTAAAATCTTTTATCTTCAATTGGTCTAAAATCTTTGGCATTGTTTTTTTTTAACTAATCTCAAATAGTCTAAAGACAGCAAAAATACTGACATTCCATTTTTTACAAATTGATTATGAAGAAAAAAAAAAAAAAAAAAAAAAAAAATTTTTATTTGTCAATTTGACAAATGATTTCATGAATGAATTTTGAGCTCTGTCTGTAAAAAAAAAAAAAAAAAAAAAAAAAAAAGAAAAGCTGTTTAGCAATAGAGCAATTCTATGAAGAATCTGAGGCAAGCATAGTAGGGAAGGAGGAAAGACAGACAGAATCAGAGTGTCTACTGTTACTTTCAGGACTACTTACCAGCATTAAACAGATTACTACATGACATCTGTTAAAACAACATTTAAAAAAAAAAAAACCTGACAAGTATACAATGTCAATTTGTTTTTACCAACTACATGGCATGGACATTTTTCCTCCATGTATTCAATGGAAATTATATATATATAAAATGCATTGAAAGTTAAAGAATCGGCCAACTCCTACAAGATCTCAAAAGCTTAGCTTTTCTTTTATGAATAAACCAAACCAATTATATGAGTGTATTCTTTGATCTAGGAGCAGACCCCACAATCCCAACAGGTTTCAGGTGCAATTCTCCTTCCCGTCATCACTAACAACTGCCTTTTAAGTAATAATTCTTTAATGGCAAGTTGACTGCTTAATATTGGCCTTATATATATATATATATATATATCAGTGAAATTTGCAGAAATAAGAGATAGACTAGTTAAAAGGGATCAATGAACATGTCCCATTGCTATCAGATGAACATCACCTTTCAGAGTACGTTTCTTAATATCTTAACCCTTCCCCAAACTAAAAAAAAAAAACAAAAAAACACCTGGTTTCATTAAAAGGATTTGTTTGGTTTCTAAGTCATTTTATAACTACTTTTACACTTGACTTTTTTTTTTTTTATCGTCAGGCTGAATCCAGAATTCACCCCCAAC